GGCTCTGGGTCAGCTGGGAAAGGCTTGAGGTGGAGCAGGCTCACGGCTTATGTGTTTGTCACTTTCTTTTTCATTTTAACCCACACCATGATCTTTTCCTGACCCTAACCAAGTGGTTTTTGTGCCTAAACCTAACCAGACCTTAACCACAGGGCATCATGATGATTTCGGAACGGACTTCGGAACAATGGGTTTAATATGGTCGGAACAATAGGATGTTGGACCAATGGGCTGTCGGACCAATGGGCAGTTCCCGCCTCCGCTAGCCTCCCAGCTAGCGGGGGCTAACCGGTTCTTCCTCCTCAGGCTCCACTTCACTCAGCTGCCAGCACAGCCAGTTAGCCTCCGCTAGCTTCCCAGCTAACGTTAGCCCCGGCTCTCCGTTTGGATCCAACCAGAGCACCAAGCCCTGGTTTGTTATTCGGGTTAATGTGGGAAGAAGCAGCGGGTATATCGGGCAGCTGAGTGAAGTGGAGCCTGCGGAACAAACACCAGGTCTGTCTGGATGTAATAGTCCGTGGAGATGCTGCGGTGCTCGGCTGCACAGACGAGGCGAGTGGGGTGGGGGGTGGAGAGCAGAGGTAGAGGGAGGAGTGGCTCATGACACTCTTTGTTTTGGTCTACAGTCAGTGCACAAGAGTGAACCTAGCGGTGAAACGATTTCACTTTTTGCCCCTTTAAGGCCCTGACACACCAAGCCGAAGGTTGGCCGTGAGTCAAAGTTGGGCCGTCGGTGAGCGTCTGTCGCCCTAGTTTTTGCGGTGCATCCCGCATCTCGTCGGCACTTCGGCGTCAGCCGATTGAGCATGTTGAATCGGTGTCGGAGCTTGTCGGTGAGAGAGATCACTCTGATTGGCTGTTCAGGTTTATTTCCTCGCCTCTGTAGCGAGTGAATCTGCCTGTAGTGAAACCGGGGCTAACCGGTGCTTCCTCCTCAGGCTTCACCTCATTCTGCTGCCCGACAGACCTGCTGCTTCTTCCCAATTTAACCTGAATAACAAACTGGGGCTAGCTGTGAGGCTAGTGGAGCATTAGCCACAGCATGACCGGAGTGAAGCACAGCCAGTTAGCCTCCGCTAGCTTCCCAGCTAGCCCCAGCTCTCCATTTGGATCAAACCGGAGCACCGAGCCCTGGTTTGTTATTCAGGTTAAAGTGGGAAGAAGCAGCGGGTTTGTCGGGCAGCTGAGTGAAGTGTAGCCTGTGGAGGAAACATCGGGACTGTCTGGATGTAATAGTCCGTGTTCGGCTGCACAGATAGGAAACCCCTCAGCTGACAGGATGTACCACTCTCTCACTCCGCTCTCTCTCACGCAGGCGCAGAACGTACGTGCTACTTGGCTGTCGGATGTAGTCTTTGTAGTGGGTTCAAATGCAACTGACACAGGGCGACATGAGGCGACGTAGACGATGCAACAGTTGGCTTTCGTTGCTGCTAGTTCTTTGATGTTGGTTTGGTGTATCAGCACCTTTAAATACAGCCACGCAATTGATGTTTGCCGGATGTTTTCAAGAATGCTTCAAGGACTCAGAGTTACGGGGGCACTGGCCCCTGCTGCCTCCCAAAACCGCCATTGATCATATGACCAAACTCAGGGACATCAAAGCCATCCAGAACAACTTATTACAGGCTCAGTGGCAGCTCATTTACAGTGGGTGTATGTAAAGAGTAAATGCTCCTTTGAAAGTGATACTGGCATGAGCACAGATGTCCCGCTGTTTACTACAGCTCCTCTTTCCTTTTACGTCCTCATTGCATCTGTCCTTCCCATTGTATAAAGAAGGGGCTGAGACAGAAAGAGGGGATGCAAATGATCCAACAGAGGAAGTACCAGGGCCCTAGGAAAGCTGTTCAGCCCTCCAGCATATTTTGCCCAGTGGTATTCCAGTGGAAAAATGCCCTGCTCCCCAGAAAACATTTTCCTCATGGGCCACCACTCTATAAGAGATGTCTATAAACCTGTTGACAGGATACCACCAAGTGCAAACAAGGCCAATTCTTTCTATTCTTTTTTTTTTTTATCCGTAGAGGTATTATATTATTAAAACTTTCCTGGAGCTGAGAAAAACGATTTAAAAATCTGTGACGTCGTCACAATCTAAAGCATATGAGCTGAGTGGGAACTTGTGGGCAGGGCCAGCGGCAGAAACATAACTGCGCATTTTCAGTGGGCCACATACCGTGAAAGTAAACCCAGAAGTTAGAACTCTTTTGGCATATGCGCCAGGTGAGCAAGTCCACTGGACTGAATAGGTACCATCTTGGGTCCAGTATCTAGTTGTTATTAAAACATGGGAAGCACAACTTTATGTCGCTGTGCACCAGTCAAGTCTCAAGCTGCTCTTAAAGTTTACATCAATGTCTGTGAAAGCATGGATGCTTCACACACACTGTCCCCTCGACAGCACAGAGGATCTAAATAATCAGCACAGTTTCAAGGTGGGCACCCAAAATGATTGTCACCATTAAGTATCTTAGCTATATTTCCCCTTCTGCTCCTAAGAGATGATGTTGAATAATGGCCAGAAAAGTGTTTTATCAGAAAACTAGAAAAGCGCTCGGAGAGCGCAGACCTCCGCCAAGCAGCTCGGATTTCCCGCCATTTTATTATTTTATCCACTTCGCTTCCACCGATCACCATCAAAATTTTATCATCTGTCCCTTGTCCCATTATCAACCTTTCCTGAAAATTTCATCAAAATCTGTTTAGAGTTATTTTGTAGACAAACAAACACACAGACAAACAGACCAACACTAGCGAAAACATAGCCTCCTTGGCGGAGGTAATTATGATGCCACAGTGGAGCTGGATACCTGTTGGATATGACATGGATATAAAATGTCATCACTTTATCATTATATCCTATCAGACATTTGTGTGAAGTTTTGTAATAATTAGCATATGAATTCTTGAGTGATGGCCAAAAACATATTTTGTGAGGTCAAACTGACCTTGACCTTTGACCACAAAAAATTATGGACATTTGTGTCAAATTTAAAGAAAATCACTTAAGGTGTTCTGGGGGTATCATGTTCACGAGGATGGAACAAATGCAAGATCACACTGACTTTGACCACCAAAATTCAATAAGTTCATTGTTGAGTCCAAGTGAACGTTTGTGTCAAATTTAAAGAAATTTCCTTAAGCTGTTCTTCAGATATTGTGTTCACGAGAATGAGATGGATGCAAGGTCACAGCAACCTTGACCTTTGACCCTTGATCATCAAAATCTCAATAGCTCATCATAGAGTCCAAGAGAATATCTGTGCCAAACTTGAAGACATTCCCTCAAGACATTCTTGAAATATCACGTGCATGAGAATGAGACGGACAATGTCACAGTGACCTTGACCTTTGACCACCAAAAACTAATCAGTTCATCGCTGAGTCCAAGTGAACATTTGTGCCACAGATATCGCCGGTGCTGAGGCATAAAAAGCATAGGAATAGCTGAATGTGCCTTTTTAAGTACAGATGGCATTTTAAATTATAATGTAGTTGACAGTGAGTATAGACATTAAAAATATGGCTGACATTTCTGCTCTCGTAATTAAACTAACCGTTAATTAGTGCCCAGTAAACTATAAACCCAACGTTGCAGTGATAATTTTTTCCACATAAAGAAAAAAGGCTACAGTGGTCATATTCTCTTGAGCACCTTATTTTATTTCATCATCTTTAAGGTGCAGAGAAAAATTTCACATTCACGAAGTGCTGCTGTCCCTCACATTCACCAGTTTAATGCACACTGTGCATCTGTCAAAGTGCTAGAATGAAAATTTATCCCACACTTATTAAACAGTCTTATTACTTAAACCCAAATGTTTTATAATTTACTCTTCATTTAGTATTCACAATCCGTTAATACCTCCTGATTTGTATTGTTGTTTATTTATGTTTTGCTTAATTGTGATTTTAACTCAATACAATATACTTCTCTACCAAACGAGGATGACTCCACACTCTTACCTGTAGCATTGCTGGTGTGAGAGAGGCAGTAGGTAGAGATGGGCTGCAAAGGTTCATGGGGGAGAAGTCAGAGGTGGTAACCAGCAGAGCCGGTGGGCTGATCTGCAGAATTTTCGGTGGCTTGCGTGTCTTTCCTGAGCTCAGAGTGCTGACTGTGGTGCTGCTGCTAAGCGAGGATGAACTGGTTTCAGCGTCTACCAGACTGGTCTCGTCTCCAGACAAACCCATAGCACTGTCCACCTGGTGGACAAGAGACACATTACAATTTGTTTCATTGATATCATTTTTTTTTAATTTAGTCACCTTTCACTTGTTTGCTCTAAAATATCTGGGTCAATCAATATAATAACTATTTGTGAACTTTAGGTTACACAGCTCATTTGATGTGTTCAGAGTATAAGAAAAAAACTGTAATCTGCATACAGTGGGGGAAATAAGTATTCAGCATGTCAACATTTTTTTCATTAAACATATTTCCATCGTCACTGGTGGATGGCAACAGATTCTTCTCAAGAATTTTCAGTGCATGGCACCATTTATCTTTCCTTTATGAAATCTGCTGGTCACATGAGAAGAGAAACAGCCCCAAATGATGATGTTTCCACCTCTGAACTTCAACTGAACTTTTCTCCTCCAAATATGGCGAGTCATATTTTTGCAGAAAAGCTTGTTTAAAGTTTGCATAACAACATCTAGAGAACTTTGCACAGGGTTTCCCACACATTAATGTATTTGTGGCAGACCCCACAATTAAAACATGTGCCTCCATGTTTAGATTTTCTATTTTTGAAGCGCCGTTGGAATATATACACACACAAACATATATACATATACACACACATATATATATCACCACCTTGGTGGAGGGGTTTGCATGTCCCCGTGATTCTGGGAGCTGTGTTGTCTGAGGCTAATAGCCCCTGGTAGGATCTCCCAAGGCAAAGTGGTCCCAGGGGAGGGGCCAGACTAAAAGCAGCTCAAAAAAGACCAAGATGACATGGCACATTCGGGGAACGAGTACCACGGCTGGACAATATATTGATGTCATATTGACATTGTGATATGACAGGAGATATTGCCTTAGATTTTAGATATTGTAATATTGTCTTGCCCTTTCCTGGGTTTACAGGCAGCATTACAGCAAAGTGATGCAAATTTCTGATGTAATTTTCTTGAACTGTGGTGGCTGTTCTAATATTTGCTTTTATCCGAATAGCCATTATATCCAAATTCCTGATGATTATTTATCAAAAATCTTTTTGTGTAATTATTTTGTGAAAGCACCAATAGTCTACCCTACAATATCGGCTCAATATCAGTATCAAAGTATTCAGTCAAAAATATAGTGGTATTTCATTCCCTCCATATCGCCTCAGTGTCTCAATTACATAGTTTGTGCACCTCAGAGAACTGACAAGTTTATTTTTGAACTGTTAAATGTCCCACTCACATTTCTAAAATAACCAATTTTAATGGACTCTTATAAAATACTGTTTGTTTATGCTATGTGTTTATGTGAAAAGTGTTTATTAACCTAAAGCATATTTTGCTAATAGTATTTCTGTACTTTTACTAACATTTGAAGTGTTCCCCCTTGTTGTTTGATTTCTGCAGTAGAAGCAGTATTGGTGTGTGACTGCCGCCTGCTGTACCATTATTCTAAGAAAGAGCAGAACATGAAGAGTCGCAGAGGAGAAAGAGAACGGAAGAAACTAACTCAGCCATAAAACCAATATAAATAAATTAGCGAGAAGCAGCAACAAGAGTCACAGCAGCAGGAAACAAACCGAACAGTCTGAGGTTTCTGCAAAGATTTAAAATGGTTGTTTCAACAGCAGCCCAGGAGACACACTCACACACACATACACACACTGGCTGGCCGCTGCCCTCTCTCTCTGGTCCAGCTATAAAAACCCATTAGTAATCACTCCTCGACTCTCAGCGGCTCTTTTCGCCCAAACGACTTCCATCCAGCCAATCTGCATAAATCTGCATTAATGGATGATTTTCCCTCCACAGAAAACAAATGTGCTTTAAAAAACGCCTCCTTATCTGTTGGCTTTTAGAGGAAACAGAGAGCACAGACACACACACCATCCCTCTGACACACACACATACACACACACACACACACACACACACACACACACACACACACACACACAC